TGAAACGTGTGTGTGGCTTAGTGGGAGCACAACAGGCGCTGTATACCTCCAAACAGGCAACAACCCCCCCAAACCCTGCTCTTCACAATCAAACCCAGGCTGAACTGAGAGCATGCTACCTCGGCCCACCCTGGTACTGCACAGCGCAATATATTCTAACACGTGGCTCCCCGCTGGGCTTGGATGTGGAACTTGGCATTATTAACGGTGTGGATGTTTAACGAGGGAGGATGGTGGGCAGGTAGAATGTTGTTTTCCTTCATGTTTTCCTTTACAATCTGCATCTTACTTTGGAAATATATGTTGTAAATAATATGGCTAGTGACCACACCAAGAACAACCTGTCTCTTCCTGATGTTCTCTTAAAGACCATTATGGTGTTTTTCCATGTTTATGACCATTAACTACAAACTGCATACACTGCATACATTAATGCTTAACATTTCCATACAGTTTTGGATTAATTTGCTACCTTTAAGACTGGAAAGGATTTAATTCATTTCCTGAGGTGTGGAAATCAACTTGGAGACTACAGCTATTTCTCACTTCAGTCATTTCAGAATCATATTTTAGTGTACTGTTTAGCTGTAAAACGAGATCATGCATGACCAGGCAAGCCGCCATTGTTTCCTGTTACGAGTCCAAACTGTCCAATGAGAGCAGCTCAACTCGCAACTCTGAACACACCAACAATGGAAAGCAACTGATGGCTGATGGCTCGCGATTTAGCCTTGACCCCAATGTTGTGTTCAGACCGACAGAAGCGATACAAAATGTGGCCTTCTACTTCATTCGGATGGAGCCAGCCTGGTGATGCAGCTGAGGTGCCAACCCAGAGTGCAACGGCAAAACTGTTGAACCAGGTTGAACTTTTGCCGCATCACAACATCATTTGGCAAGGCTCTGCATTAGCCAGACAAATACATGCAAGAACACATTCCTGGTAGGTTACTTTGTGACATGAACACCATATTTGCACTGTTTACCTCAAGATCATTGATGAAATTTAAAATAGCTGCAGCCATGATAACTTTCCAGAGTTGTAAAATCCTCTCTGTGCATATTCCAAACCGCTGTTCAGTGTTCTAGCTTTTGATAAACCTTAAAACTCAATCGATCTGTTCGATCAATCAAACTGGACTTCCTGGATCATATTTCATGGCTCCCTGGTACATTAAACAACACAAACTCATATCCAATTGTCAAACAGTGCTGATTAAATATGAATCAAGATTCAAACCCTGCCTCTCATCCCTGACCCTGACTCTCATCTCTGCTCTCCTGACCAATCACAGTGTGATTTCAACATCTGAAAGGTTGTTTAAAACACAGTGGGACGTTCTGACAAGCATTTTGTTGGAAGCATACTCGTTGAATCTAGAGCAGCAAACAGCCACATAATACAAATATAACACTATAAGTGACAAAATGACATGGTTGTTTGTGCTGAGGACAAATATTTAAAGCAAAGGTGGTTCTAACAGCACGGTCAGCTTACTGTAGCCTCAATCTAACCTTTATACAACATTTTTGTGATTCCCTTTTATTTAATTTTACTGCTGTGTCCTTGTTTCAGATAAACAAATACGTTTTTCAGATCCTGTGCAATAAAAATCTGGCCTGTGGCCCTGGAAAGCCCCATTCAGCCCTGCTGTGGGGGAGTAGCAGTTTTCACTACTTCCTGACCGGCTCTGAGCAAATGCCAAGTACTGTATGTGTGTGATCTGTGCTTTGACGTTTCCCTTCTTCTTTTTCCTTTATTGCCCGTGCGTTTTAACTGCTCTAGTAAAGGGGCATTACAACCTTCAAGGGGAGCCAGCCACGCACCTTGGAAGGATTAAGAAGCTGTTTTGTTTTATGTTCCAGAGAGTAAATAGCGGTGTAAAATGGCTATTTGGGTTGCATGTGCATACATACATCTCCACGTAAATACATACACATGGGCACAAGATTACTCATCCATCGGGAGAACACACATACACACACACACACACACACACACACACACACACACACACACAAATGTAAAAAGGTCAGTTTAAAATTCTGTCTGTAAATGCCGGAAAGTCTAAAAGGCTTTAACACTGATCGTAACACAGAACTGAGTTTCATCTAAACTTATTTTCCCCATATTTAACCCATAATGGCAGCCTGAAAGACCACATGTAAAAAAAAACCACTGTGTCTAAATGCTTAAAGGTCCAGTGTGCCGTGTGCAGTGTCCATTGCGGTTGGAGACTGCAAGTCCCTCGCTTATTAAAATATTAAGTTCCTGCTAACGAAAACTGAATATTTCCTACTGCTGCAGCTTCATTTAACTGAGAATTTAACTGGCAAAACACAAGCTGACTTTTATTTTGAAGTAAGCTACTCACTGGAAGTGAAGTCAATTTTGATGAAAATAATTATGATGATCATTTTGGCCTTAATTGTGTAGCTCTACTAAGGAGGCACACCAAAGTGAGTTTCTTTTAACAATGACCAAGAGCTTTCCTTTTCTGCCTAAGTTTAAGCAAACCTTAATTGTAGAGATAGTAAACCAAAATATATTGTTTTGTGTGATGGGCATCGGGAGTTTTCAAAGGCCAATGTCAATTTACCTATTTTGTCTCAGGTAAAAGCTCTGAGTTGTGAGGACCAGGAGTGAGAAGCACTGTTAAAACACAATTCAGATGATTTCCCATGAAGTCTGATGTGCAGTGTAAAGGCCGATAGACGCTGCAAATCTTCCCACTAATGGTTTGATTACTTTGGTTATTTGCTCATTTTTACAGTAAATTACGTTGCTTTAAGTGGTATCTGTTGGCCACATTGCTGTAAATACACTAACACCAACTTATAAAATGATTATGACAAACCTAAGCTAGGAATTACTTATTTACAAATCCAGCAGACAGAGAGCATTATTGGCACTGAACTGAAGTCATGTTTCTTACGATCGGATGAATTTCAGTCCAATATTCACTCTCCTTTCAGCTCTGCTTTGGTTTCAACCCTTGGCTCTTAACTGCTAAATCCATTATGTTCACCACCTGCCTGCTGCTCACATTACACATAGTTATATGATACACTATTAATATAAGAATATTAATTAGTGCAGCTTTAAAGAAAGCTATTTCTTAAATAATGCATTTGCATTCAAAGTACAGTAAACTATCGGATTTTTTGCGTAACGACAGCATTTATCTTATATGATGTAAAAAAGTTCCTTTAGATTGACTCGTCTCTCTCTATCTCCATACCTCTCTTTGTCAGACACCTTATCTGGGCTAACAACGGCTGCTAGGTAACGGCAGGGAAGCCCCCTGTGTGCTCTATATAGCCAACAACAGTACAATACAACACTTCCCCCATCTAACCCCCCCCAAAAAAAAACACACACACACACACACACACACACACACACACATACTCTCTCTCTTAATTTCCTTCTGTCTATATATGCCTTTGTCCCCCTGTAAGAGAGCCGATTGACCCACCAATGTGCCTTGCCAACCAAACAACAACCCTGATGCAGCTGAAACCAGATTATTCCAGTTCTCTGTGGTCAGGCACTGAGGGAGCAGAGAGAGGGTGGCGGGTGGCTCAGCTTTATCACAGCACGCACACACACATACACACATACAGAGTTTCAAAGTGGGAATTGAGTGCCTCAGGCAGGAGGTGTCCCCTGGGTTTGGGTCTCTTTCAGTGTGAAATCAAGAGCCCAGCTGTGGGGAGAAAATGTACTCTACCTGTTGATAGCCATAGTCTCAACAAAGCTAAGTGGAGTGTGTGGGGGCAAAAGAGAGAGATGTGAACTCCAAAATTTAAACAACACAGGCAGACACAGGAATTAGGGAGAGCAGCACAAAAGAGGGTAGAGAGAACAATACAATGAAGCGAAAGACAGGCCAATAAAGTAGCAAAGTAGCAGGTATACAAAGGAGATAAGAAGGTTGGAGACAAGAAGAGCTAATAAAGAATGAGCCACAGTGAATGAAACCAGAGAGCAATAAACAAAAAGGCTGAGTAAAAGAACAAACAGGAAAAGGAAATGAGGGCAAATAAAGGTACAGAGAAGTGCCAAAGGAAGGGGGAAGCAACTGAGAACAAGAAGGGAAAGCAAGACAGATGAGGAAAGGAAGGAGACGCCAAGATGAAATTGAAGAACTGAGAGCAGTAAAGCAACCTGTGTGTGTGTGTGTGTGTGTGTGTGTGTGTGTGTGTGTGTGTGTGTGTGTGTGTTGGGGTGGATAGTGACAGCAGGGTGGTATTACAACAGGGTCACGTCCTTTCTTGTGTAACCACTGCCCTCCACAACATGTGCTGTGGGGCAGAATTGATTGGACCCACACTGGTGCGATCGCATCAACAGATGGTTCTACATGGCTCAGGAGGAGAACGAACGCATGTCATTACACCAGACTGGGATATCCAGTATGCAACTCAAAGTCCAGGACCTCCCATGTTAGCTGCAGATGTAGGCAGAGCTGTGGTAAGACACTTTCTCTGGGGGCATATCGGAGGCTTGCATATTGCTAAGGACGTCACAATGATATTGACATTGTACACATATAAACTCATATGTTATCTTCAATGGAGCATTGTAGGAGGTTCTATAATGGACTTTTTGCTAATTTAAGAAGAGCGCTTTTGTACCAAAATGTTTCCCACAATTCTTTACTAGGACCACTCTGAAATTAAACATTATAAAGACCTTTTCCACCAACTCAAACCTAGTGCCACTTCAGAGCTGGTTCAACTTGAAAACTAAAAAACATTAATTAGTAGCTCAACAAACAGCTAATAAATACATAGCTGGCTGGCCACAAGGGCCCAAGCCCCTGTTGTAAGCGGTTATTGGATGTAGACCAGCAAAGTGTTGGTGCTGTACTGGAACCTGCTTGAGAGCCAGTTCTCTAGCTATCGGAATGCAGATAACTAGTTCGAGATAAGGCACCGGCTCTGAATCAGCCCTCAAACTGCCTTGGTGGAAAATGGGGTAACAGAGGGCTTACCCTGTCCGTTTGAGTAGTAGATCCACTTCTCCTTGACCTGCGTTGGAGGTGCAGATGGTTTCTTCTGAATTGCCTTCTCCATGATGCTGCTAGGGTCCTGCATGGGGCCCTTCTTCAGAACGCGAGAGCTCCGCTTCACGCTGCAGACCACAATCACCACCAGCACCAGCAGGAGCAACAGCACTATCATCCAGGGGAGATGCTCGTTGATGTCAAAGTCATTATGGGTGCTCGGCCTTGGGGACCCCCTACGAGTGGGCCTATAGTAACTGGAGACTCCACCACTTCCACTCCCCTGCCCGGCTACCTTGTTTATACCTGTCCCAACCCTGACTATCTCAGCACCCTCCAGACCCTCCATCGCCCTCTTGCTGGGGCCTGGCACAGGGTCAGAATTGGGTTGCTCCTGCTGGTGCTCTTGGGCTAGGAGCGGTGGAGTCCGTGGGGGGTCATGATTTGGTGGGGTGGGAGTGCCAGGCCGGCTGAGGAGTTGCCGCTCAGCACGGTGGTCTTCCCCATCCAGGTTTCCCCTCAGCTGAATGGCAGCTGACTGGCTGTAGGTGCCTGTGAAGACAGAGCAAGGGATTGATGGAGACAAAGATAGAGGAAGCAAGAAGAAAAGAGATGAGAGAGAACAAAGAGGGCAAAGAGAGAAGATAGTACAGACGTAAGAGATGAGAGACAGCACAGAGAGAGGGAATTAAATTCACTCACTTGAGAGATTTGCTTAACCCAGACAATGAAAACAGAAGGCATCACGGGAGGGAATCCTAACACTCTAATCCATGCTAGCAATCCGGCACAAAAACAGAAGGAGGAATAACCTTTCATCTCCTTTCACGCTTCTGTTCTTCCTGCCGACTTACCCCAACTTAGCCCAAGATGCATAGTGAGCAGGAAAACTGACATTCACATTACATTTACAATTATTCATTTGACTTTCAAGTGACGTACAAATGGCATAGTCAGTTACACTCACTGCACTTGATTGGTCAGCATAATGTGAAATTATGTTGAAACGAGTGACACAGGATTAGAAATGAAAGATCTAATTGAGAGTTACCTGTTTTGGGTCTCTATGTTATCACCACTCTAAATCATCAGTGAAAACCTTGGTGTATTCCCTTAACTGCAAACAAAACCCGAGCTGCCTCGCCTCCTTTCACCGAGCTGAGGCCCAGCTGTGCTCCACCTCGTAATCTCACAGCACACAAGCTCTGAATTGCTCATTCTGCAGTCTGCTCCTTGATTAAGTTTAAACTAGGACAAATCTAACAGGCTTCCGTTGTACGAATTATTTGAAAAAAACTTAAATGGGGAAAGGGATTGGTCAAATGGGCTAACGATTCACAGCCAAACTAATCTGTCATCTGTTGAAATGAGAAAAGAACAAGTAGGATTGTCCTGTTTAAAGTAAACAGCAGCAGGGACAGTGCTTTTCAGGCATGGGAACAAACTGTAATGGTCAGTCGATATTAGTGCGTCATTAACCTCCACTGATTATCAATATGGCCGCTACCACCTTCCTGCTGTTCACTTTGTGCCTATGTACTGCTGCTAATGGGATTGGTGTTGTATAATGCCATTAGATCATAAATGGACTGCTGCTTTTTAGGATTGTCACTTGGATGCCTGTTAATCCCTGTCATCCTTTTATCAGCAGACAGGTACACAGGTGGCAGTCTAATCCCTAAATTGAGGCTGATATTTTGGCTGGCAAGAAGCAAGTCTTTAACATACTTTCAAGGGATGTAACACACCCTCTGCAAGTCATCAGCTGTTGATTAACAGATTCTGCCTTAATTAAATATCTTTAACAAACATAAGGTCAAAATATATATAAATATATATATATATATATATAACATAAGCTAGTGACCAAAAATTCATTTTATTTTCTAAATTGCAGAACTAATGACATTCCCATCAGCCTCAGCTGTGCTGTTTTTAATGCTTATTAGCCAATTTTAGCACACTTACATGCTTAACTTAAATGGTGCACATGGTAAACATTAAGTTCCAGCATGTTATTACAGTGTTGGTGAACATGGTAGCATGCTGACATTAGCATTCAACTTAAAATGGCTGAATAAAACCTCAACCAGCATGGCTGTAGACCCATAGAGCCACTGTAGGGAGGCATGGATCACCAGGGGAAACATATGGAGTGAAAGCTGGATCGATATGATTTATGTGGGGAAAAGAGAGACAAGAGTTTGCTGATGTTATCATGCTGACCCTAATTTCACTAAAATGCATTCTTTTTTATTATTTGCTTCCCCCATTATTGTTAATGACTAATAAAACAGCTTCTGTTGGGGGGCTTGACAGAAAAAGCCTGAAAGCCACTGCTCTAGTCTATAGTGGGGGTTTCATAGATATGTAATGGCTTTTACTCTTTAAAACATTCTCATCTTATCTTCACTTTTATCATTCAAGGTAACATACTTTGAAACAAAAAATCTTTTTATGCCTAAAACAAAACTAGTTGTGATAAATGGGTATTTACTGGCATGCTCCTGTGTACAGTCCGGTCAGTGTTTTCCAGGTTCTGGTATCTCCTATTCTTGGACCCAGCTGATATAACATTGAACATTCCTCGCTGGCTATAATGGTTGCTAGGAGATCTGCAATGTAACAATTTTACATCTCGTGAATTATATAAAGTGGAATATAATGAATACAGTTAGGCTTTTAACACTGCTGTTATGGTTGTGTAAAGTGGTTAAAGACATTTTGCTCGACTACAACAACCTTTTCCAAGGCGGTCCTTCCCATCCTCTCCACTGACAGTAAAAGACAGGTGAAAAATAACTGTCATAAGTGCGTAACACCCACACCCGCCCACCCCCACTCTCCCTTTTAGAGCACATATGGGGTCAGATTAACTGGCTGAGAAGCCATCGATCCCATGCCAACGCAAACAGTAGTGACAGTATTATAGATGTGGGGGTCTATGTGGGGAGGAGGGCTGCACTGGCTACGGATGGATGAGTCTGCGAAATGACTGGCTGACTGACTCAGACGGGACTGACGTAAAAGAGTAAGAAAGATGACAAGGGAGGGTGGCGGACAGAGAACGGGAAGACAAAGGGGAAGTATTTTTCACATTCACTGATAAGGGGGGGAGGGAAAAAGAAAAAAAAGAGAGATACAGAGGAAGACAGAAATACCCATAACTCCTCCTGACCACAAATAGTAACATTCCTGAGATAGGGAGCTGCCACCAGTATGTTGCCATGCCTACGACTCTCCTTCCTTTTAGGAATTCCCACAGGAAAGACCTGTGTTATTGATGTAATGATGCTGCAGTAGCAACGTGAGAATAAAGAGGTATAAAGAATTTAAATACACTTTATTTTGTCCCTATTATATCATTTGCTGTTGGTATAAAAAGGCAAAGTATGTTGATTTTTGTTTTTGGTATAACCGCTAGAACAGTATACTGTGACAACTAGTAGGCCTATGTAATGAATTGGTAGTATGGATTTGGGATATGCCATGTGTCCACCTCAGTCAGTATATATAATTATGCCACAAAGACTGTTCTAGTAATACTTCTGTACTAAAAAAATTAATGCATATCGTAATTACAAAAAGAGTTATAAAGACTCTTTGTATTATGGTTTCCATTGTACACAAAAATCTTAACATGATATAAAACAATAACTATCATGTCAAAAATCTTAAAGGAATTCAGAGTCTCATTATGAAGTCACTTCTACTGTCCACTGTAGTAAACTGAAGATAAATGTTATATTAATAATAATATCATATTCATTTACGTTTTTTTTTTCACTCTTTTCAAAAGATGGTAATTTTGCAGGAAAGGGTAAGTTTATATCTATATCAAATGCATGCTGGTTTCTTACAGGGAAAGAGTTTAAATTAATGTGAGTGGGACAGGGAGGCAATTAGCCTAGCTCAAATTGAAGACTGGAGACTGGAGGCAGAGGCAGCTAAAAAAAATGCTTCTCCCAGCATGTCTTGAGTTCATTAGGTTAAAACATTGTAACGTCTTCATTTAATCTATACACAAACAGAGATGTGAACATTTCAAAAAATGTTAGACTAGGGGGGTTGCAACGTAAATGAATGAGTTAAATACATCCACATCCTCTGAAAAGCCATATGAAAGAGATCAATGAACTACAGATAACAGCCATGAAACAGGGTCTCTGTTCTCACCTTTGTGTGCAGGTCCAATCACTGATGATGATGGAGAGGATGAAGAAGTCATGGTTTTCTGTACAAGCACAGCCTGTCGTGGCACCTGTAGGGCGGTTGTGGAGACAGATGTAGAAGCGGGTCCACAGACATTATCTGTATATTTAGTCCCTGGTGTGAGCAGCACCAGCCCCTGAGCTTGGCAGTCTGTGTGGGTTTGGCACCTCACCGCACTCGACTCCACATCTGAGAAAGTCCCCTTGGTGCATGGCTTACATAGCACGTCCTCCGTTTCACTGCCCCGCTTTTTCACCCTGGTCCCCGGAGGGCACAGTGAGTGGGGCTTACACTCTGTGCCACCATCCCCCAACAAGAAGCTGTTGGGGGGGCATGTGCAGACGCGGCCCTGGGTGGCCGTGCAGGGCACCTTCTCAACGAAGCCTGAAGGACACGGAGCCCGACAGCGATGGCATTGCTGGACCCCGTTCTCGCCACGTGTGAAGGTGCCTTCAGGGCAGGGGCTGCACTCCCTCACCCCTGCCAAGGAGCAGTGTGCGGACACGTAGGTGCCCGCTGGGCATTTGTCGCAGACCTGCTGGGTGCCCGAGTCGGGGTCGGTATGCTGATATTTGCGGGGAGAGAGGAGGTGCTGGTCAGCTGGGCTGTTTGTGGTCAAAACCCGGGCTGAGATGTCAACCAGCACTGTATATAAGAGCTAAGAAGAGAAGAAAGTGTGGAAGTTAAAGAGAAATCCAAAAACTGGCAGTGGTATTTAAATATACAGTTGACAATATTTTTATGCAACAAGAATGAAGCACCATGTTCATTACACCTGACAATAAAATTGAATAGTACTGATTTTTTTTTTGGCCACTTTGGGGTTTGCTTTCTGCTACGACTACTCCTAAACTCCTGATGGAAATATAGTTGCTAACTGTGTCTGTCTGTGGTGAGTGTTGGTCTGTCATTTGCTAAACAGCTGAAACACTATTGTCCTTCTAGAATAATGTAGCCTTTAGATAAAAAAAATGTAATGCCTAGAGCATGGTGTGTTAATATGCTAATGGGCAAAATACAACCAAAGTCACAAAGCATTATCCTCCGGGGAACCCAGCAAATATCACTTAAAAGGACGCCAAAGAAAAGTTAATGCAATTGTCATCCTCCAATCCATAATAATCCCCCCAAAAATACAATCAAGAGGAGACCAAAATCCTCTTAGGGCTGAGTAGGAGTTGTTAAGATACTGTATCTTGTTCTTGATCAAAGGAGCAGGAGAGATGGCTGGATGGATGGACAGACAGATGGAATGACAGACAGGTGGACAGCTGGTTTGATGGATGAACAGACAGAAAGACGAAAAGCTTCCCATAGCAACCTAATTGAGACTCCTGTTCACTCTGTTTAAAACGTGATATCATCCGATCCAAAACTGTGCCTCGACCAGCAATGAGTGAGCTTTATACACCCAGACAAATTGTTCACCAATTTCAGAATTCTCTTTGTACAATTTGGTATGAAACATCATGGGCCAGGCAGGCGGACCCGAGTGTGCTGTGTGTCAGGTTACATGGATTCTGCAAAGTTTTCGATGCTGCCATTTAGGTTCCCAATGTATGCATCTGCTTGTGGAGATGTGTAGGGAAATATCTCTTTCAGTAAGCCATTTAATCCAACAGCATTTAATTTACTCACTCCCCTGACTCATCCTGTCCCTCTTAAGTCGAGTGGCAAACAGTGCACATTCACTTTACAACCACAACTGGGGTTTTGATCAGACAAATGACTCGGGTTTTCTTTTTTTCTTCTCCTCTCACCTCTGCTGGGAAGCCGACAGCTCACCGGGTTTAGGGGAATAACCCACCCATGTCTAAGTTTACACACACACACACACACACACACACACACACACACACACACACACACACACACACACACACACACACACACTGACTGAGTCATGTCAAAGCAATAACATCAGGCAGCCTGACTGGTGGAGGACCGTCTCCAATAATAATGCTTGAGTGCCAAGAGAGCTTTACTATGTCCGAAACAATTCAATCCTGTCCATCCTGTTTAGTTTAAGCCACCATGTGTAATATTTATATTCCGTTACAGCATCTTTCAAATTATTCTGAACCTGTTTCTTTTTTGATGCCACCACTTGGGGATACCAAAGTGAGATACTACACATTGTGCCTTTAAAGAGGTTTATTAAAGAAGTTCTTAGGTAATAGCTTTAGTATACTTGAATGTACTGTTGTTATGAGAGTTGTCAGGGCTAAGTCATTGCTAGAATTCAAATGTTATGAACAAAAAAACATAATAAAAGTCCCTTGCCTTGGTGCAGTCTGTGGTTGTGAACTGCATATTGAGATGAATTATATATTTCAGCTGCTATGTTGTAGACGTATTATGTGATTACAGCATATTCATCAATTATACATAGTTTTGGGGTTTTTTTAGGTAGATATTTCAATAATCTCAGTCCAAAGTCCTACTTATAGTGGCTTTAACTTCACACTTGCTTTCTGTATCTCAATCTGTGAGTCAGTAGCTAATGCCAGGACGCAACATCCAACCAACAACGGCCCAACCCAACAGAGCTGTTGTGACGGGAACGAAAATTAGCGTTGGGAGGCATGATTGCTCATGTGTATTGAGTCATAAAAGACACCTGAAACACCATCCGGGACACCGCCCCAAACATTCTAGCATGTTCCTATTTTTTCTTGCCTTCTCTTGCCTAATTTGACAACTTCCCACAACGTGTTTGGCTCTATTGACCAATAGGAGCAAACGGCACTCTTTGGTGCTCAGCTGTAAAAATGGTAAAACCAAAAGAGAAATGATGACAGCCAATATGTCTGCTGTTACCCACAAACTAACCCTCTTTCTACCAAATGGAATGGGAAGCACAAAGGCCTAGTAGGAGGAACTGGTTCCATTCCCTAAACTCATCCGCTGTCTGAACCCACCATGTCTTCGTCACCCCTGGAGTCATAGTCCTGGTCAGAGCTGCTGTTATTTAGCTCTTACGGTGCTGGTGTATTCAAACCACTCCCGGTACTACAGCTAGGACCACTAACTAGCTAGTGGCAGCAGCATATGCTACATAACAGTGCACCGGTAAGTAACTCCCTGTATTACAAGAGAAAAAGTCACTTTCTGCGACTATCCGACTAATGAGAAGTGGGTGGACTAATACTCTTCTTATTGACTGCAGTTTAGTCAAGTTTTTTTAGGGATAGCCCTAACTTCAAGGCAAATTGGTTCGGAACCCGAGAGTTGGTTCCCACCTGGAACAAAAAAATAGCATGTTTTCCTTGACTTGAGTGCTTTTCGAAGTGGGCGTGTCATATTCTACAAGACGTTATGCACTGTGCAATGCCCTCCATTGATGACGCACCCTTGATTACAATGATTAAACTGGTGGGAACATGGCAGGTTCACTAGATAACACCAAGATTTCAAGAGTCCTGAATGGAACCGGTTCAAGAACCAGAGCTAATTTGGTGGAAAAAGACATCTAGTAAACTTTCCTTAATAAAACAGTGTTTACATACAGCCGGTGGGAGAATAAAGTCGGACCTCCCAATCACCTGTATGTACTTCAAAGTCTAGCACATAGTCTGCCATGCCTTGAAGCCAAGTCACTGCAAGAATTTATGACTCTGTGATTGCCCGATCTCACACAGACATGCAAACACTTTCAAACAGAATATAATAGGTGTGTAGGTTCACCATAGCATAAATAAAAAGCAGGGAGAAGCACACAGCGACAGATGGTAGGAGAGAAACACATGGATGGAGACAGGTCAGACAAAATGTGGATCTGTGTGCAGAAATGTGTGTGTAAGTGTGTTCTTCCCTGCTGAGTGTGTGTAGTCACACAAATGTGAATGAAGATTAGCAGCTTGTGTGTGTGTGCATGCAGTGTAAACAGGGTTGGTAGGTTTGAAGTGATGCACTGAGGGGGGAATTTTGCTGATGACGCACGTGAATGCTGGTCATCCATGAGCACCAAATCTCCCGCTGAACAAAAGCAATAGTTTAGGATCATACCAATATAGTGTGTTTCGGTGTGTTTTAATTCTTTGGACATTCCGTTTCAATGAATCGGCTGCTGAGAAAATTGGGATCAATGCGTTTTTTCAAGACATCAAGGAGGATAGCGGGATCCAAAAGAAATTTCCCACAAACCGCTCCTAATTAAACAATCAAAGGAAGACAAACTAATTTTATGATTAGTGCTAATAAGAATAAAGCTGTCCTTTCTTTCACCGCTCTATTGCCCTTTCACCACTCCACCCATTCTGCTCTTTGTGTTCATTCCCAGAACCTCATCCATAAACATCAGAGCATGTTCTAGACACGCTGCTCATAACTCAGTTGCGTCAGTAACATCAATGCATTCATTCACATCAACGTTCAAAGTGAGACGCTGGTGGAGAACGCACGCAGCAGTAAATGGGAACATTCTGCTTGTTACAGGACAATGGATGGTACCCCCGTGGCTCTTTCTGCTTGTTTGTAGAATTTGATTATTGGAACAGCATGCCCTGAACGTTACCATAATTGAGGTGTATCACTCGCTATTTATGGCGAGGCTGTGGAAGAAAAGGCATGCTGTGGTATTAAGCAGGAACTTTCTGATTGCTTTAATATAGGACGCTCATACTTTTCATGCCGTAGCCCACCGCGCTGATTTTGTTTTGTCTGGGGAAGGAGGCTCATTAAAAAATACCAAGCACATCCTAAAAGTCAAGAGAAAAGAGCTTAATAACTTTTTTTTTAGGTAAACAGGAACCTACTTCTACATCTGCAAATTCATGAACATACAGCGCAGTGCCGTACCTAGAGGCTGTCATGAATTCGCATTAACATCACCGTCTTCTGACATATACGCGTGTGTGGACTGCCTGGCTGAAAATAAAATTGGCCTCTGCTAAAAAGTAGCATAATATGAGAAATAATTAAACGTTTATGAAATATAACATACATTTTTTAGGGTACAGAGCAGAGGTGTTACATTATATAACACAGACCATAAAGCTGAAATCATGTCAAACTTTGCTACCGTACAATACATAGCGATAACATCAAGGAAAAGTAACACTTGAGGGACATCAGTGTGAACGTTGGAAGCTTAACAGCTTCCAATTTCTGAGTGGAACTCAAATGTTGAATGTTGTTGAAACTCTAATAGTTAATAATGTGCAATTAACATTTCAGTGACTTTGAAAGAATATCATAACACTAAATGTGCTGTCTTTGACTTAGCAAACATGTTATTACTCAACTGTCTTTCTAACTAGCTAGCTGTATATTGGCACATATCAGTTTATGTCGTCAGTGTTACCGTAGCACGTAACTGGAAAACAATCTAGAAAGGCTGTAGATAGGGCCTTTGGAGTTTTTTGTGAGTTTTGTGGCCACCGTAGTTTCTCCTACACGCTTAAAATGGGATGGTGAGGCGAGGGTGTTGTAATCTGAAACTTCACTGCTAGATGCAACTAAATCCTACACACTGATCCTTTAAAAATACAATTTGTGGTTTTCCTGTGAGGCTGTTGTTTGTTTGTTTGTTTGTTTTTTGGTTTACCCAGCATAGTCTGAATTAAAAGTTAGTTTAAAGTTCTATATTAACCAGCTAGGTTAGCAACAGTAACCAAGAAACACACTCTCTGCAACCCTACACATAGATGTTAATAA